AAAAAAAAAAAAAAAGCCCAATAAAATGATACAAATAACTGTTTAAAGATCAGTTTGTTGTGTCTACCTTTTAATCAATGGCCTTTCTCAGCCCTCTAGTTCAGACTTTGTATGACATTAAAGAACAGACTGTTCTCTTGACATTAGCCTTTATTTGTAATATAGGGCTTCTCTCTAACAGAAGCAGCATTCAAATGAAACACAAAAGTTGGACATGGTGGTACATGCCTGTAGTCTCAGTACTCAGGAGGCTGAGGCAAGAGGATCCCAGAGAGCTTGAGGCCAGCCTAGACTACACAGTGAGTTCAAGGCCAGCCTGAAATATATACTGAGACCCTGTTTCAAACAAACAAACAAGCAAACAAACAAAGAAACATGAAAGAAATGTTCAATGCTTTGGGTTCAAACATAAGATACAACATAAAGTGGAATACTAAACATCTTAGACTGCAAAAAACAGGCAAAAGCCAAGTATGGTGGCGAACGCCTATAATCTCAGCACTTGGGAGGCTGAGGCAAGAGGATCGTCACATGTTCGATGCCAACCTAGGCTACTTAATAAATTCAAGGCCAGCCTAGAGAACATAGTAAGAACCTGTCTTAAAAAAACAAAAACAAAAAAAATTTATTGTTTTTCGATGTCTTATTTTTTGGCTGAGACAGGGTCTCACTAGTGAGTTCAGGCCAGCCTTAAACTCACTATGCAGCTCAGGATGGCCTTGAACTGGAAGCAATCCTCCTGCCTCAGCCTTCTGAGTATTGGGATAATAGGTATGTACCACCACACCTGGCTACAGAAGTCTTAATCAGTGTTGGATGGGGCTGAGATTAGAGGTGTAATATGCATGACTCTCTAAAGAACATCTGAACCTGTAAAAGCCTACTACTGAATTAAAGAAAAAAGATAATTTACATTATCAGTATGGAGAACTTCCAAGAATTTTGAGAAAAGCATGCAAAATTTAGGGGGTATAGTTGTATTTCACAGTCCTGGAAAAGAAAAAAAAAATTAAGGGCTATACTCACCGTCTCAGCCATGGAATACTCAGAATTAAGTTTCTTTGCTAGACCATAATCTCCAAGTTTTATCAAGTTTGCCTTGGTCAGAAAAATATTTAATGTCTTTATATCTCTGAAAAAAGAAGTTGCATGTTTAGTTCACATAGATCATTGTTTTATCTTATCCCCGCTGCCACTGACCAGGATTAGTACAGAATAAAAATGAGTTATGTCACTGCTCAGATAAATGTCCCATATAGTGGTCACCCTTTTACACACATTTTAACACTGGAGAGGGTACTTAGGGAGTAAAGGCAAACAATTAACTTCATACTCTAGGGCTTCTATAGCACTGACATTATGAGACAAAGCTTAAAGTCCAATGAGAAAAACAAAGGGGCAGACAACCCTATTTAGGTCCTGTAAGACATACTGTTTTCCCCACTACTACTTAGGCCTTCAATTATGGTCCAAGGCAATTTAACACCTGGTTGGTGAAAAGTTACAAAAATTCTGTTAAAGCCAGAGAAGGGGCTGCATGTCTCAGCAACAACAAAGCTGTTGTACACCATCTAAATAGTCACTGGATATTTTTCTTGAAAAAAAAGCTGGGGGGGTAGTATATGCCTTAATCACAACACTTGGGAGGCCGAGGCTGGAAGAACATTGTTCAAGGCCAGCCTGAGCTACACAGCAGGGCCCAGACTTTAAAAAAAAAAGACGAATTGTCTATATGTAAAATAATTTGCGCCTGGTTTATAATCTTTCTTTTTTGAATAAAGTGAATAAACCAGAATATATTTTGTTATTTTTAAAAAGGAAATAGTTTTAAAAATTTAAAAAATAGCAACATGAAGAGGTAGTTATCCATTAGCTATTAAGAAATGTTTTTTGGCGTTTTTTTTTTTTTTTTTTTTTTTTTTTTCATTTTTTTTTTTTTTTGGTACCTGGGATTGAAGTCAAGGACCTCGCTTTTGCCAGGCAGGCACTGTGCCACTGACCTACATAAATCTATGGCCAAGAAATAAGTGTTGTTTTTTTTTTTTTGGTACTGGGGATCAAACTTGGGACCTTGCGCTTTTGAGGCAGGTGGCTGAACCACTGAGCTAAATCTCCAGCCCAAGAAGTGTTAGCTAAATGAATGAACAAGCAAAGAAATTAGTGTATTTTAATTAACTGCTGGCAATGATAAATGACTTTTTTTTTTTTGAGACAGGATCTTACTATATAGTTCAGGCTGGCCTTGACCTTATTTGGTAACCCAGGCTGGCCTCAAATTCAGTGATCCTCCTGTCTCAGCCTCTTGAGTGCTGGGATTACAGATGTGTAACACCACATGCAGCTTAATGACAATGACATGAAAATGTTCTTATAATGGTGCTCTTGTATAGGCTGAAATGGATGGCAATCTCTCTCCCATTTTTATCAAATGAAGATTTGGTAAAATTATACAACTGACTGTACAAAATACATAGACTTTTCTTTAAATTAAAAACTTAAATTATAGAATGATAATAATTGACAGTTATTATTGATCTGAGCAACCATTTACTGTGAATTCTAGCCAAACTAATATTTATTCTCATAGCACCTTCTGGGCTTCACTGATGCATGTAATCTACTACCCTGTAAGATATCTCTAAAAGAAATGATTGAGTGGTACTTATGTACCAAGAGAATCCTTCCTAGGTCACAAACATGGTTTAACTGTAGATAGTGAATATAACATCCTTCATTCCCCAACTCTCTCCTCTTCTAGTTATATTCATGGACAACCCTGACTGCTCAGTGAAGAAAATGAAAGTAATGGTAGGAGGCAGCCAGGGTGGGGAATGGATTGGGAGGGAGGAATCTAGCCCATACATTTTTTCAGTCATTACCTATGCAGGATTCCAGCTTTATGGATGCAGCTGACTGCTGAAACAATCTGAAAAAGGTACCACACCACCATCTGCAGAGAAAAATATATTATATTTGACTGGAAACAAAAAAACTCCATTTAGGGCTGGGGATTTAGCTCAGTGGTACCTGCTTGGTAAGCTCAAGGACCCAAGTTTGATCCCCGATACCAAACCAAACCAAACAAAACAAGAACCCCTCCATTTAGATACACACACACCCCCAAAGGAACTGCAACCAGAGGCTATGATTCAACATGACTTGACTTCTCTTGCTTGTAGGTTGAGTAGGCAAAGTGGAAGGGGTAAAAAGGAAAAGGTCACTAAAAAATAGTTATAGTACCAATGTGATTAAAAATGTAAAAAGTAATCTGAAGCAGACTTACATAGAGAAACCCAGAAAGAATGCAAAGGTATAGAAAACGGGGTGTAACAGGATGGAGTAACAGAATCAGGAAAGAAAGCCACAGTGAATCATGATGTCAAGGTAAAACATTTAGGAAGCAGCTATAGACAGCTTCCTTGTTAGAGGTTTCCTCTCTCATGAATATCAATCACATCCTGGAAGGATTCTGAACAAAAGGAATAAAAAAACAAAACCCAAAACACTTTTCATAGTTGGAAGAATAAAATATAGAACCAAAATTCAAGAATTACAACTTTATGCTGAGTGTGGTGGTGCATGTCTATAATCCCAGCACTCCAGGAGGCTGAGACAGGAGGATAGCCACTGGCGTTTAGGCCATCTTAGATTACACAGTGAGTTCAAGGTCAGCATGAGCTATGTAGCAAGACCGTCTTAAAAAACAAAACCCCCAATAAAATAAAATAATAAAGAATTACAACCCTATAATTCTAGCTTCTTTCCATAGACATATGAATTACCTCTTCCTCAAACAACTTGTCCTTCTGACGAAGGATTTTGTCATACAGGTTTCCTCCTGCAATTAAACAACAAACAGGTTTGAATTGCTTAACAGAGATCAAAGATTGGCTCTTTTCATGTAATAGGGTACCAACAGGTGACATGATGAAATTAAAGATTCTGCTTTCCAAAGGAAATGACTTCTTCCTGCTTGATTTTTCAAATGGGAACAAAAATCTTCTTATCTCTGAAGGACTACCTCGGAAACATTCTTCAGAAATTCCTTTCCCTAACTCAAGAGGCTCAATACAAAAACTGGAAGTACAACATTTTTAGGAAAGATGAGAGTAAAGGCCATCTCTGTAGTAACTCAGTGAAACAACTTCAAAGTGAAGTGCTTCCTTTTGTAAAAGAACTCTTTCAAGCATGTAATACTTTTATAACAGCTCTCCCAAAGAGACTACAACAACATTTAGGTTGTACCTGTGAGGAAACATTTTATATATATATAT